TAATCAAAATAAATATATATTATAAAATATGATAAAATATGGCAAGATATTTTTCTTTATATAGAAAAGTAAATATATAATAAGATAATATAAAATCGATTTCACTTAGATCCATTTCTAGAATTTAGAAGATTCTTCTTCTAAGATTTAGCAAATCTAGAGAAGATATCATTGCTTCCAATATCGGAGAAAAATTCATGATATAAATTATATATAGGGACCAACCCATAGAATCAGAATCTAATATATAGATTTGAAAATGAGAGAATGAGGAATCATAAATTCGAATAAGAATATCAATTTATAACTAATCTTCGAAGATTCGATATTTCCCAATAAAAAAGAGAGCGAATTATATAATTCATTTCAAATTATTTCATCGCATTATGTGATAAAGCAGATTATTGTCGATCATTTAAAATATATCAAAAAAAGAATATATATAAATATATCATATCTTGCTGATTTTGCACCAATTCTTCCCATTATTTTCTCCAAAATTTACTGCGAAATTCGCATCATAAATCATTATCATATAGGAGATTTTGTAGCATGCTATACGAAAGATTTTTCAGAATATATTATTTTTTTCGAGAAAGATTTTATATTTTAGTGAAAAAAAGAAAACGAATATCATCATATCAATCTATATATAATAGCGTCCTAAATCGCTATCAATATACGAAAATAAATAAAAGTCAGAAATATAAATTCTAATTTCAATATCGATAGAGAACGTATTAGAATATATATATATTAATCATATTCGTATAATAATATTTATTAATCAGAAGAAGCGTGCCGCGGTTTTTTTGACCACGAATATTTCCAATTTTACAAAATATCTAAGAGCTAGATATCAAATATCAACGACGAAATAACATTCGTCATTATAAATGCCACTTTCATAAAAATATAATTTATGCTCCAAATCAAATCCATAAGATTTATATTCCAGATCCAATAAATAAAAAAAAACGCTTAGATACGAAATATTATTTCCCGAAATTATTCAATTCTACAAGCCAAACATAATATAGAACCAAAATATATCTTATCGTAAAAGCACATAAAGTCTCTCTCTATTTTTTTAATAAGCAAATAAATATATAAATAAATATATATGTATATATAGTCCAATCTTTATAGATATAGATAATCAATATTCCAAACCATCGATCAGGCCGGATCTCATTCTCTTAAAATTTTAATGTAATATAATGCTTATGATCCAATTATCAAGTTTTTTTTACCAATATCCAATAATAATCTCTTCTTCCTCTTCCCTGTTGTACCTTTTACCTTGCTACCTTGACATGAAGTGTTTTAAGGGCCAAACCCCCCGCCGCTCTCCCCGTCCTCCCTTCCCATTAGTGCTTCGTCTATAGGGCCGCCCACCACCCCTACCCCTGCCCTGGCCTGCTCCCAACCGCTTTACCTTGACATGAAGTGTTTTGAGGCCTCCAACCCGCTCTCCGCTCCCCCCGCCCTCCCCACCACCCCACTCCTGCCCCACCTACCCTTGAGCTTGAAATGAAGTGCACCCCTGCCCCTACCCCCGCCCCAGCCTGTACACCCCCCCCTAGAGAGAGAGAGAGAGAGCCGCACATCTACCATCTACTGACGCAGCCGCAGCGCACAATTTGTTCCGATCTGGATGGAGACACAATGAGGCACGCTTTCCTTGTGCGAACTTGTGCGCACTGCTGTTCATAAACTCACGCCGAGATCTTTGGCATGGCTAGCAGTAGGAAGATACTGAAACTGGACCATAGGCAAGGAAAAAAACGCGCCTGAGTCCGTCTCAACTGCGGGTCTGAACATCTTGGCTGCATGGACCATTGCGGTCAAAGTGGCACCTGAGCTCCAGGCCCTGGCCTGCTTGCAAGCGTGGCAGGTGTTGCCTGAAGGTCAGGGACTACCATCCCAGGGTCGGATTCGGGCAGCATGGCTGGGCCCGTGTGCACGTCGGACACGTGAATCCCTGGCGGCAGGTCAGCAGGCTTCCCCGGCGCTTGCACCGGTCCCTGTGCAGTGGCAGGGGCTGCGATGCCAGGGGGGAATTCGGGCAACGTGGCTGGAGGTTTCTGCGCATGGGACACGTGAATCCCTGGCGGCAGGTCAGGAGGCTTCAGCACCAATGCAGGGGATTGGATCTGTGAGAGCGCAGCCGGAGACCCTCGCGGCTTCGGTGGCGGAGGTGCTCCGGAACGTCGTCTCGTCGTTCCTGAACTGGACTTCGGTACAGCAGCCGAGTGCTCCAGCACCAGGTTGCGGAGCGTGAGAAAAGAGAGGAATCCGCAAGTCCCCGCCGCAATGATTGTGACAAAAAGGATCACAATCACCTGCACGATGTCACTCTGGCCCCAATGGAGGTCGCGGGCGAGAAGAGCCACGATGGCAAAGATCATTGCTAAAGATACCGTCAGCAATGCAACCTCGGCCTGGTTCCACCTGGGGCACTGCAATTGCCACAGCCAACAAAACAACAGAGTGCTGATTCCAAACCAGGTTGCTTAGAGTAGGCACGCCCAGATGCCTGTTCAAAGAGTTGCACATACATTCAAACTGCCCGCCTTTCATTCTTGTACGGTAGGCAGAGCATATACATGACGAGGGAGCCCAGCAGCAAGAGGCCCAGGGAGGACATCTGCAGGGAGGGGGAAGCCGAGACCGGAAGCATGGCAGCAAGGAGAGTGAAGGTGGTCTTCCTCAGCAATCTCTCGGTCTCCCATTTGGCATACGCCTCCTGGTAGGGCGCCGTGAGGAAGGCCACGTGCACCGGGATCTTGGCCTCTTCCGACGCTTCCTTCTTGGCCTCTTCCACTGCCACCCCGCCATAGAGGCTCCACCAAACCCGTAG